GCCTACCGTTATCTAATACTCATAACGATATAGTAAGAAATCAAGATATGCTATATCGACTCACCACACCACTAACACATAGACAATTTACTTATATCGGATATAAAAAATCACTCAAAACATTCACTGCACCCCGAGCTAACGAATTTACACTAGAATATTACGATCATAATATCATCCGAACTAATCAAGACCAATTTTTAGATGACGATCGCTTCACTAACCCACAACTAACAGAAAAATTTTTCATCAAAACACCATATGTTTTTACACTCAATATATTTGATCGAAAATTTGATCACATCATTTCTGAAGCACTAACCGACTTAAAAGCTTACGAAAGTGTTAAAAGAAAAATTTCAATTATTTCACTAACCTTCCACTTCCTTGCACCACATGAACGCGATTTGCACTGCTCACACGACATTATGTTACGCACTAAACAAACCCACACCTATACATATTATCGCTTCATACAAAATCATTTTGATCTACACACTTCATCAAGACAACCACACCACCGTTTTCAGTTTCTTAACTCTAAATACACTTCGCCGTTTTTTCTAAATTTCACATATTGCATCAAAGATACTAACCTCCACGGCATCCTCCGCAATTATGACCCAATAACACATATGTATATATTTTGTCCCATCACGAAGACCTTTAATGCAGAAGAATCCAGACCCTTCCTTATCCCACATGAATTTATCCAACCTATAGAAATCCCTATATTAGAATTCATCCACAATACTAAATACAATCACAAAATATATAATCTTATTCAAAACACACCTTATGAGTTTGCAGTTGGAACCGAAGAACTAAAAACTATTAAAGCACTTCAATTGCTTTGGCCACTGCTTCAAACTAAAAACATCATTCGCATACTAGCAAAATTACTAACAAATTCCGACATGATACACGACATCTTCCCCCACGGTTTTTTCCCCGACGACTAACAGGTAAGTATAATTTATACATATTCTTCACTAATAAATTTAAAATTAAAGATCTAAATGAAACATGAGTAAAGAATGGTTAGTATTTATTTTAACCATATTTCATATTTTAACCCTGTTTCATACCACAATCATCTGCAAAAAACAAAAAAGCAAAATAAAAAATAAACTTGTTAAAATTCTTCTAAACTTCATTAATAGTTTCCACAAGATAAACTGATAAAATTTATACCAAATGTAGTGAATTAATTTATAAATTGTTTCCCCAAAAGCAGTAAATTTCATAAAAAATGAAAACTTGTAATTTAATTTTTCCCCAAAACTAGCAGTAAAATTAAAATTCTATGTAGTAAATTGATAAAATGAAAATGCAGTACTAACCTTTTGATATTTTCATTCACTCGCACAAGAATTCTATCCAAACTCGCACAGCTCGCCCACGAAGAATTGTTTAAATAATGAATTTCAGTTTCAAGTTTTCACACTCAACAATTCTAACACACGATAACAAGTTTCAAACATCCTTTAACCCGGTTGGAAAGGAATTATATACTAAACCAAACTAACCAACGCAGCTTACTAAACACCACAAATCATAAAATAACAGCATGACTAAGAAAAGAAAACCAACGGTACCCAAACCGGATTAACCCAGTTTAAAACTGGATAATTTATTCTTTTGAAGACTATTATAAAGTCTAAGAAAGAAATAATAAAACACAAAAAAGTCGAAAGACAAACCCATAACAAAAACAATTTGATTTTTGAAAAAAGGACACAACCAACGGAACATAAGAAAAACCACCATAAAGCCAACATAAAACGTTATCACATAACAGGACCTCTCACAGAAACCGCACGAAATCATACTCCCACTCCTGGCCTAACCCACCAGAGAGGACGTCCTGAGCATGCTCTATAGCCGGCCTAACCCACCGCGCTACATCCACGCTTTGTGACCATACTTCTATTTTTAATAAGAGGTACTCAAGGGTGAGTAACTCTTCAAAATAACCGAACTAAAACAAAATGCTTTTGTGAAAACAACTAACCAAAATCATAATTAAAACACTGAACTAATAAAAATTTTATAAAATGTAAACTATACTTTGCAGTATATAGATCAGCATACAACAACAAAGACGAACATCCAGAGACAAAATGACCCCACTACACTCGAAAAAGAATGGCCAACCACAAACCAATATGCCGTCCACAATCACAAACTCAAAGGATTTAGAGTACGACTTGACTTCGCAGAAAAGGACTTCATTGAACTAGACCAATGACCACCTCGATGTTCAAGTATACGTACAGATCCGAGTTACAAGGCATCCCTTCCACGCACAATCTCCACGCCATTCCCAGACGAGGTCGAACACAAAAGAAGTTCTCTACATAAAACAGAAAAACCCGTCATAGCAAACCATTCTGAAATCAGATTGATTTCATTGGGAAACACCATCGTTGTCACAAGAAGACACAACGATTGATGCCCCTAACTCCAGCGTCCTGGAACTTCTCTAACAAGAGAAACCGGACAAGAGTACGATATTCGCCAAATACCAACGTCCATCATCCATCCTTTGAATTGCAGAAAGATAATTCTAAAAAACTCTGTAAAACCCGGATGGGTGGAACCTGATCTAAACTATATTTTATGATTGGATAAATTAGATATTTTACCACTGTAAAGTATTTAATATTAAACAATCATGATCCATCTAACTAACAACCCACTTATTTGTAAGTGCTGAAATTACTTGTAATTTCAGCACCAGAGAGATTTGAATTTAACTTGGAAATTAGTTGCCTCTCCAAGAGAACTTCAGCTGCCGCAACAAACCAGTATACCCTAGATCTATTGAGCCTAGCAGAGACTAGTTAAACACCCTGAGACTAGATAGTATAAGAGTAAGATTAGGATCGGTATTAGACTAAGAAGTTGCACGAATCTATCCGGCCGAAAATAAGATAGCGTGACGAGCAGACGGTGTCCCCTATCCGAAATTACTCTATGAGTTAACCACATCAGACCTAACTCACTTTGTCGCACCTGATTGATAGACTTCGTTTGTTCTAGTTCAGTTTTGGCTTCATTTAACAAACTCTTTAAATAGACTGGTTTTAGGGCACTGTTTTTTGCAAGATCACTTCCCTGTCAATTAACAAAAAACTATACATAGTCACATTTTGTTTTCACTATTGGAGGGATTCTAATTTGTTGTAGTGACTAGAATGGGAAGGAACTGGTAAAGGTTATATTCAAAATTTTTGCGCTAACCATTGTCTTCTAGAAATTTTGGTTGAGCGATGCGTCTCTAGCGCATTTGGGGTTACTTTTAAGTCATAGAACTTTTTTTTGATAAAACAATGCTTCAAATTTTCTAAACATAAAAAATCCCACTTTGGAAAAAAAACTTACCTTGCAGACAGCGAAGCCTTTTTTGAGTACAATGATCATTTTGAATTTTTTTTGGAATTTTCGGAACAAACAATGCCTGCTTTTTTCCACTAATTGCTCTCCATCATTTACCTGCTTATTGCACCAAAATATCTGCAGGAACTATCTGGATTTGTTTTTTTTTCACAAATAGCAAAACTTTTTAGCTATCTATTTTTAATACAGTTTTGATGAATCTTTTCAAATTTATATGTTTATTCTTATTGTTTCGGCGACCATTTGAAAAATGGAGAGGAGTTTTGTATTCGGTTGTTTTAAATTTTTTCCCCTGTTTTTCTACTCAAAGTTTTTGAAATTTTTTAAAATTTTTTGAACCATTTTTTCCTTTTATCTCGTCATTTTTCTTGAAAATTTTCTTTGCAATTGGCCGATTTTACTATGAGTGTCGACTTTGCGTCATTTCGGCTCTTTTTCCTTTTCCCCCCACCTGAAAATTTTTATATTTGAAGTTACTGTTCACATTGTTCGATTGTCATGAAAATTGACATGCAGACTAATTAGGCCATGACAATCATATTTGGTTTTCATAATTAACCTTCTAAAACCACTCGTTACACCATACAAATAATGTTTGTGTGAGGTGGGAGGGAAAAGGAAAAAGAGCCGTCATTTCTTTTTTTTGTTCAGATCTTATTAAACCATGCAGGAAAAACCACACTCATTTAGGAATTTTTTGCATTTTTTACTATAGTAGAATATTCTGTGCTATTTGCACAGTAACCGGCTACTCTTTTTCGTTTATGAGATTGGTTTAAGGGGTCTTGGGAGAAGATGTGGAATGAAATATCGATATAATGGTTTTCCCCCCGCCCCAAATCTAAATTTTTTGTAACTCGTTTTCATAATGTCTGACAGTTATAAAAAAGTGACATGCTGGTTAATTGGGCAAATATATACATTTTTAAATCTTCAGGGTCGGATCTAGTGTTTTCTCGAGGATGGGGCATATTTTGAAAAAAAAAATCGAAATTTTTGTCGACCTTTTTTTAGCCCGACCAATTTGATTTCCTGAGTGGATTTAAACACTATAAAGACCTTATTTCGACCACATTTTTTGTTTGCGCCACGGGCAGGGGCGGATCTAGGTTTTTCTCGAGGGAGGTGGGAGCGGATTTTCAAAACAATTTTCAAAAAATTTGGCGACTTTCATTTAGGTCGACCAAATTGACTTTTCGAGCTCTCCAAAAGCAGTAAAAAGTCCGTTTTGGCCAAATTTTCTGTGCCACTGGCAAAATTTTGAAAAAAAAACAGGCAAAAAATTGCGTTTTTTTGGCGGCACGCTCCCCCCTCAAAGCTAGTATATAATGATGCCAAAGGCGCCTTTAAAAAGTATTCAGGGTCTGTCATCAAAAATCAATCTTTCAAAATAGTAGTAGAGGAGGGATTCTTACGACCTTAGGATCGTCAAGGGGTCGAATACCTGAGAAGAAGGGACGTCCGCCCCTTTACCTCATCCCCTCCCCCCCCCCCCCCGTCGCTCTCAGAACCGCCCCACTCCTAAATCCTCCCCTGTTTAGCGTAAGAAAAAGTCAGCAAATTCTGTTCTTTCCCATTGTTAAGTGAAGTCCACTTGCCTCCACAAGTGCGATCCCCCTTGCCCTCTTCCTGTCTGACGCAAAAGATGGCCTTCTGATTGGTACATGTCTTGTACTCACTGCTGCCCCCCATGGCACTCACACACTCTTGTGTTGCAACGTGCTTCAGATGCAATTCCTGTAAAGTAATCCACTTAACATGGTCCACGACAATACATCCACCAAATTAAGGTGTGATACAATATACAATTATTTGAATTGACGACGGATCAAGTTAACATCCCCCCCCCCCCCCCCCGCAAATAGACCAAGTTAAGATCCTCCAACCAAGAATTCAATTAAAATCAAGATTGCTAAGTGCTGCCAAATGTTCTATTGTGATTGGCTGAAAATTCGAGCTCAGAACCAAGTTTGTAAAACCCTCCCTCATAAAAGCCTTGGGGGGGATGTTAACTGGTGGAATCCCTCATGCGCGAAACAAACTTATTATTATGATTATTATTCACGTCTTTTTTAGAATTACTTTTTTGGTAGAGTGTTCGCGTCTTTTCTGTTAAACGGCCCAAAATTCATTGTTATGCAACATTGTTATGCTTCATTGTTGTATTTTGAAAAAGAAATTATAATGCTTGATTCTGATTGGATTGAATTAACAAATGCGAAGGAAGCTTGAAGCTTAATTGCAAAACATAGCGGGTCTTCAATTTGCTTGACAAAAACTAGCCAATCAAATTCAAGCACCAGCTCTGCATATTTTGTTCACAACTTTGGCTCTTCCCCCCACCTCACACTAGCTTCAATATATTAGTGTAACGAGTGGTTTTTACGAGGTTGAGTATGCAGACCAAATATGTTTGTCATGGCCTTATTAGTCTGTATGTAAATTTTCATAACAATTGGACAATGTGGTCAACAAATCAATTGGACAATGTGGTCAACAAATTTACATGTAAAAAATTGCAGGTGGAGGGGAAAAGGAAAAAGAGCCACAACTTTGAGCGTGTTTATAAATTAGCCCATTTTACCAAAAATATTTAGTTCAATAAAACATTCAGTTTTTTTCCAAATAATATGCAGAGGTTCGCCCGGCCCATAAAAAGCAGAAAATAGCTCCAGGAGGAAAAAAAAACATTTTGGTCCGTATAACAGAAAAGACTCCTAAATTTGACGTACCGTAAACTTTCTTTAGGCACCCAAAAGCAGGCGACAAAACCCACCCAATGGAACAAAAAGCAGTTTTTCAGTACCAAGTTAACATCCTACCCCCAAATCCGTTTAGGGGGAGAATGTCAACTTGGTTCTGAGTTCGAATTTTCAGCCAATCAGAAAAGAGCATTTTACCTGCAGCGCTAAGTAGATTTAAATTAAAATAAACGCTGCGCGGTGGAGGATCTTAACGTGGTCTATTTGGAGAGGAGGATGTTAACTTTATCCGTTTTTCGGAAACATTTAGTCGTAGAATTACCGGTGGCATGTCACGGAGCCGAAAACCCGGATAGCCGAAAAAAAAATTCGTTCCTGGATAGCCGAAAAAAAACTTGTCCCGGACAGCCGAAAAATAAATAAAACCACCCCTACACATATTTACCCCCCCCCCGCAAGCAAACAAAAATAAAAAATTAGGAGTCACCAACCTTATGGTGTAATTTCATTGTTGGGGTTGACAATTTGTAATCCATTAAGCACCGCCCGCCCCACACCTCCACACTTGCCTGTTTGAAGATGGAGTAAATTCGGGGGGAGTTGAGGCTTCGGGGAGTATTATTGAGAAGGAGCGCGGCGGAGGGGTGTATGGGACCGGTAGCATAAGTGCGGTGTGGTCTCAAAGTGTAATTTTATCCGATTATAATGACAACGTTTTCGACCACGAAAATGCATTATAATCCATGGAACAAATAAGTTAGAAAAAATCATGCGTTAAAAAGTAGTCGGAGTTTTGCTGTTAATTATTTCAATGAGATTAAAATTCTTAATCAGTCAAATCTCTTAAAGTTGCTCAGAAATTTGTTTGCTTACAAGCTGCAAAAAATGGGGCAGTTTTGTCCAATCAAAATTAGTCTCAGTTTAGTGATGAATTTTTTTAAATTTAATTTAGTTAAAACCGGAGGTATTTAGTTTTTTTTGGCTATTTGAAATGCAGCTCCGTGGGTCCGCACCGAATGACCGTGGACGAGAAAATTCCTAGCTGGCTTTTTTGATAGGCTGCAGGGTCAAGTTAACATTGGAAGTTTGAACACTCGGCTTGGGTCTTTTCTGTTTATGCGGTCAAAAATTACCAAAGAACTGAATGCGCTAATATTGTTTTGCAGTTAAGTCTCGTTTCTTTCGCATCTGTTAATTTCTTCAAATCAGAGTCAAGCATTATAAACTTTTTTCAAAATAGCAAAGCAGTGAATTTTGGGCCGTATAACAGAAAAAACCCAAAAATTTTTTGAAAAAATAATGAAAAAAAAACGAGTGAAACACAATTAGGCTTTTGTTTTCATGTTTGACTGATTCTGCTGCTTTCTTGGGGATTGCAAGGGACAGTATAATCAGATTGCAATAAAAAGTTTTGCTTTCTTGACACTTCGAAAAATTCTGAAAAATGTTTTTGGAATCAGAATCACGGCTGAAAGGGCTTTGGTAAGAGGAGGGGTCCCTTCAAAGATTCGACCCCCTCGCCAACAAAAAGGTGTCCTCTTTCTTATTATTTTACGACATCCATTTTTGGCTGACCGATCCTAAGATTTTTTTGAAGACGCTTTGTCCGCCGTTATATACTAATTTTGAATGTCAGAGTGCGTCAAAAAAACTGATATTTTTTAGTCAACATTTTTCAAAATGCCCCAAAAGGAGCCACTATTGAGCACCCCAAAAAAGTTACTTTAGTTTGATTCGTTTTGAACCTTTAAGTAGGGATCCCTGGTCCATTGACTCTGATCTACTTTAACATCCCACAGTTTGTACCCCATTCCAGCCACCACCAGTCCCCCCATTTCACTGTCATCTTCTTCTGCCACAGAACAGATGGCTAATATAAGGAACATTAAAAACAACAGTTCCACTCAACGACTCTCAACCCATGCAAACAAAACAGAATTTTTGACCTGATTGGAGGCTAACCAATAACCAACCCATACCCTCTTTAAATTAATTAACCAAAAGTGTGTATCATGATTAAGACCATTTATCCACATGGGAAAGGACGAACATACGAGCTGGGCAGCTCGTCACGGAGAACCGCTGTTGTGCCCTGCTTAAGAACAACATGCAATTTTTTTTGGTTATTTTTCTGAGCTGGGTAATGTTGCCTCGCCCTCACGCAACTAGCACGGATCATGGTGGGCCTCGAACATCCGCCCTTTCGTTTGATAGGCGGAGACGTAACCACTTCACCAACGCTCCCGTAATGTATCTACTTGTCAGTTGAAATTTAGAAGGGATAGTAGAAACCATTTTTGAGGAAATAAATGCAATTATTTTGTTTGACGGGCGATCATCGTCAAGTGTAATGTAAGATGTTGTTCCTATTTTCTTGACGTAGACTGTCTCCTGGAAGGGTTCCGAGAGGAAGAGCAGGGCGATGTCCTGGTCTGTCCTGAAGGGGGACTCTGTACCCTCAGGGGTCTGAATACCAACCACACTCCTCTTCTGAGTCGAGTCTCCTTCGTCATCCGTCTTGTGTGTAAGCGAACCTGAATCAGTATTCATACATCTAGAGCAGTGTCAGAACCAAGATTCGCGGTTTATATATATTTCATAGTCCCGAGCACATATTTTAAAAAGTTTACGAAATTAACTGCAGTTAGTTTTAAAACAACAACAAAATTACGATATCGATAGGACGAGTGAGTAAGATTAAAGAGCGATTGTCAACTCTTTTTAGAATCTAAAAAGAGTTGACAATTGCTCTTTAATCTTACTTTAATTTCATTTTGAAAAAAAAATAGTTATCCAAAATTTAGATAACTATTTTTTTTAAATGAAATCCAGACTAAACTAAATATAAACCGCAATTTTTATGTTATAGTCTGCAGTTTAAAGTAAAAAAAAAAGAGAATTGACAAGCGCTTTTATCAAACTTATACTCTTTTTATCTTCATTTTGTTGGTTTATTTAAAACTAACTGTTGAAATCCCTAAAATTTTTGAATATGCTTGGCAAGCATCGCTGAATTTATTCTAAGACATGAGATGAGCAATCTCTTCAAAGGCATGAACTCTTTTTTAAAAAACCAATAGCACACCCCCAGCTAAGTTTAACTCCCTATGCCTGTTAGTCTATTGTCGCCATCTCGTTGATCACAGTTTTTTTTTGGTTCGCCATTTAAAGGGATTGGAAAAGGTGTGGAGCATAGTGGGCATCGATCCACCGACTTCTTGATTGAAATCGAAACGAAAAGAAATTTCATCACCGGATCCCAACGCTACGAAAAAGTGATGAAATTGCTTTTTGTTTCGTTTTCGATCGAGAAGTCGGTGGATCGAGGCCCACTATGCTCCACACCTTTTCCAATCCCTCTAAATGAAGAACGAATTGATTTTTTTTTGCTTTGATGCTGAATTTTTATGGTACACAAAAAAAATCAGCATCTAAGAAAAAATTCAAAAAACAAAGTATAGAAGAAAGAATAATCATTTTGACCTCATAGAAGGAATCGTTTCTATTAAATTAAAAATTTGTGAGACAAAAAAATGTGGAGTTGTTTTCAGTCCAGTTGTGAATGAATGAAAAAATAGGCGGCTATTTTTCCATTTTTCCCCACCTCACAAAAGTATCAAACTTATGGTGTAACTAGGGGTTTTACAAGGTCAATTATAAAGACCAAAAGTGTTTGTCTTAGCCTTATCAGTCATCATGCCAATTTTTGTAGAAAAAATTTTCTCGTAAATTTTCCCTGGTGGGGCTCGCCGGGAAAAGTAAAAGAGGAAAAGAGGCACCCGCGATGACAGTGAGGGAGGAGGGAGGGCTGAAGTGTTTGCTGTTGCTGTTGTAGACACAGTGGGCGGCCGTGATCACTTTGTCCAAGTCCACCAGGGACCCCCCACAGAAGTGGTCGGCGGAGTTAATTTGAACCACAAAGGGGTACTTGTGACTGGACACTTTACTCCCACCTAACACAAGGCAGCTACTGTTAAATAAACTAAACAATCGAAAATCTTGGAATCTAGTTTAACAGCTGCTATCAAATCAGATAATTCTACTGAAAGCATCATCATTTAGTGTGACTACTTTTTTCGGCTTTTTTGCACCACCATCCTTTCATCAAAATGAAGTCGCTAACATAGAACTGATGCTCTTGTTATATCAGGCAGAGGCGGATCTAGGATTTTCTCGAGGTAGGTATTTTGAAAAAAGTTCAAATAATTTACCGAGCTCTCATAAATCTCTACAAAGGACCTATGTTCGACAAAGTTTATGCGCCGCAGGCAACTTTCAAAAAAAAACATTTTGATTATATATGGTAAAGTTTGATTTACCATATATTGGCGCCCAATGCGCCTGTAGAAAAATTTTACTGTCAGTCTGTCAAAAATGGAGGTCTTAAAATGGTACTAAAGATGGACATTTTGAGTCGACAGGGAGTGGAATCCCTGAAAGAAACGTCCCCCCCCCCCCCTAAATCCGCTACTGATATCAAGAGTGATCAAGAAGGAGCTTTTTTAAATCATCATAATTATACAGAACAGCTGTAGCTTGAACATACCTTACCTTTAATTTGTGTCTCTAGTAAATCTCGTGAGGCTCTGTTCGCAGCACTGCACTCCTGAAACTGGTAAAAAAAATAACGGAAATGTGAATTTCTTCACACTTTGATGTATAAACAAGTTTTCCAAGCATTGTGTGTTTTTCTTTCAAAATTTTTTTGATCTTTTTGATCGTTTTTTTGACCTCTCATAAAGTTAAGATATACAAATTTTATGCACTGCACATGACTTTTGAAAATCATGGCAACAAATCATTCAAACCAAGCGTGCAAGCAGGGGCGGATTTAGGGGGAACGCTCCCCCTTCTTCTGGATTCAAACCTTTCACCTTCCAAAAGGTAAACCCTTTGGTAATATTTTATGGCATCTATCTCGTCCGAAAGACTCAAAAACTTTTCTGAACGAGCCTTTGGCACCAAAAAAAAAAACAATCCAAAAAATAGCCCAAAAACTGCCTTTTTAGCCTATTGTTTAAATTTTTAAAAAATTTACTTTACCGTGTTTCAAATCTTTCAAAATTCTGCCTTCAGAATCCACCTTTTAACGAAAATAATGTGGCCGACCAATTTTTAAAACCAGGGGTAGATCTAGGATTTTGGGTTAATTGACCTATTTTTCCGATTTAAAAAAGCTGTGCTTCAAAAAATATTGCCAAATTAACTATGGAGAATTTTTTGGGAGAGCTCCAGTGTTAACTTTTATTGGCGTGAGACGGAGAAGTTTTCAGAGCATAAAAGAGGATATTTCAGTGCTAGCACTGCCAGCGAAGTTTATTTATTGACAAATACAACGCTCATAGAAAAAAGCGTTTGATCATCATTGGGTTTGCTAAATAAGCACTGGGGACCGACCTATTGAGCGACCGACCTTTTACCAGAAAAACTAAACACGGGCCTTTTACCAAACTCAATACAAAGGTTTGATTGACAGCTGCATTGACGCCGTTAAGTTTGTTTGAAGATAGCTGTTTTTTTTTTCATAAATTTCTCAGCGAAATTTAACCACTTCATTTTCGAATCTTCTTTACGGGGAGGGTTCTCATACTTGAAAAACCGAATGCTTCAAAAATTTCAACCAATCAAAATCGCTAAGCGTTTCTATTGGCTAAATGCCTTTCTCACAAAATCGTAATCAATATTAACAGAAAATGTATTAAATCAGTGGAAAATAATCAAAAATATAAAAAAAATGCTGTTTACAACCGCAATACTATTCAGATAATCATCAAAATTAATGAGGTCAAAATCATAAGAATTTTTCAGTCTTGAAAGCTCATCTGCTTATTATCTAATCGGTAAATATTAACACTAATGGCCTGGATTTAGTTTCTTACTTTGAGATTTTCGCGATTTACTTTGAGATTTTGAATACTCAATTCTGATTGGCTGAAAAAGTTAAAAATTAATTTCAAGCATTCGGTCCGTCAAGCATGGGGGACGCCACCCTTCATTACTTTTGATTTTCCTAATTGAATTGTTGTATTATGGTCTGGTAAAAGGTCAGTCTGGTAAAAAAAGACCTAGCCCAAAGCATGAGGCTTTTTAGGTTAGTTTCAATTCTATGTCAGCAGTTTTGGCAACTGCCAATTTGGTCAACTTTGGATAATTAACTCGCAATAAATATTGTACCATTAGTTCTTAAGCGTCAATTTAGTCCAAATTGAACGGACGCAAGCTATTTGGCTTTAATAATACCCTAATAGACACTAAATGCATCATTTTGTATTCTATAGTATAGGGGGAAATTTCCAAAAAAGATGTTAGTTAATTATTGTTCCGACTTTCGATACGAAAGTAACGGAATATTAGTGCTCGGGGTGGGTTTTTTTCTTCAGACAAATTTCGACTTTTTAACTAGCTATTTTTGACGGATTTTTTTTTACATCATTCGAGAGCTATTGTTGTCCTGAGCTTAAATTTGAAAAGATAATTCTGTGATCATTTTTCGTAAAGTTATGAGGGTTTATAGGTTACCATTTTGGCTAATTTGGGACAATTAACTCGCGATATATTTCGGGCTATTAACGCGTAAGCGAGTTTTAATCCGTCTTAAAAATCGTTCCAAATTGGTTCAAGGAAGATTATATGCCTTAATTGATTTGTTAATAGGAGCAAACTTTACACTTTGTACTTATTATGGCATGTGGGGGGATGTTTTTACAAAAAATCTCAAATTTTCTGGAAAAAAAATTAATTTTATTATTATACATTTAAATTTTCCAGGTTATTACTGCTCCATAGACCTTAAAAGCCAGTCGGAACATTCAGGGCTTCGCACTGATGCGAGCAGTCTTGTTAATTATTTAAATTATACAAATTTAAATTAACGCCTTGCCACAGCGCTTGGCGCTTCGCAAAATTGAACATTTTTTGTAAGTTTGACTTTAAGTTTTGATGGTTTGCAGCGCAGTTAGTTTGTATTGTTGCCAAGGCGCCTCTAAAAAATCTGGGTCGGCTTAAAATGTCCTCAAGCAGAAACTACCAGAAACCCATGGTGTTGTGAGGGAGGGGAGGGTTTCGAATAAGGCGTTATTCCCAGGTTCCAAACTTTGCTACTGCTCAAAACTGTAGTTTTTCACAATGTGCATGGGTGCCTAAAATACTTGAGCAAGCGGTTAATTCAATAAGTTAAGCAATCAAATTCTTTTAAAGTGCCAAAAGCTAACGCAATTTTCAACTAATTTTTGATTTTGTATACCGAAAAATTACAAACTGGCACAATTTTTGAGTTTGAGGGAATCCCCCAAGTAAATTGGTTAAAAAACCATTGAATACACTTTCGCAAGCTCAGAAAAATATTAGTGAGAAAATTCATTTTTCCAAGCTTTAGATTCCAAACAAGCCGTGAATACAGCTTTAGTTGTAAAAACTGTACATTTTTTTGGCGCATTAACTTTAACCCTCATTAGATTGTCGAAAAGTTACAATTTAGGTTTTGGCTTTGGTCATCAAACACTAATTTCATAATTCTAAAGTTCAAAATAATATTATGACTGATCATACCAAGGCAAAGCTCCAATTGTTCCGGCTGCCATTTAATGTCTGTAATATGTTTGATAAAACCTTCTAAACATATTTTAAACAAATGATTTATTTTTCAGAAAAAAAAACGATTTTTTCAACCTTTTCATAGATTTTTTTGGAAATCTCCACCCGCGGGATAAAATAAAGCGCTGTGTGTAGGGTCTAAAAACTTCTTAATAATGTTCAGTAAGTAGTTATTGGAGAACTGGTATAAAGCCCCATTATTCACCATTTTCAAACATCCATAAAATTACAAAAAACAATAGCCACTGGAAACATCGTTTTGATAGATTTGAGCTGAGGACATCATCAATTTTAGAAAAAAAAAACATTAGAGGTGATAGCCCACTTCCTTTTAACTTTAAGATGAACTGAAACTCTTCTGACTTTGATTGGATTCGGTGTATCAATAACAGATGGTTCATTGATCATTTTCAAATTCAACCAGTATAGTTGCTCAGAAACAAAAGAAACGTGACGAAATTTTTCGTTCAATTCATAAGTGAAAAGCAAAAAACTGGATCTTTTTTGTTTCAGGACTGCATCATAATTGCTTAAAATTAAAACTTTACCTGAATTTTGAACAAGATGAGTGTCAAGACTGCAAAAAATGTGGAGAAGATATCCATTTTTTTCTTCTGAGTCACCGAAAACTTAGAGAGATAAGTTAAAAGTCAGTTTTGGCGTGTCCTGGGTAGGGCGACTATCAAAAATATTCGCAAAGTATGACTTCTGAGTTTTTAATTTTAAATATTTGAGACTTTGATGATTTGAAACTCTATCTTGCTTTTTTTCCTCTGCGAGGTGCCAAAATTTCTGAATAACTGATGTACTTTAATTTCGCTTGAAAAAATGCTTTTTATAAAATTTTTGTGAGTGGAAATTGTACGATAAACAGTTTTGGTCATGCTGGTCAACCCTGGTTGTTAAAGTCGAAAGTCTAAGCTCTTAGTTTCAAAAAAAAACATCTGTACAAAATATTCAACTCTTTTTCGAAAAACTTGATTTTAAATAGAAAAACTTATTCGTCTAACATGCGCATAATCTGATACATGCGCAGACGAGGTCCAAACTGGGAATAATTTCAAACAGCTTGACTGGTACATAAACAACAAGATTACGAAAACATGGCCAGTCGCTGTTTATGCTGCACAAAATTTGCCACTAAAAATCTGACAGCTTTTAAGAGAGAGCAAAACGAATTTTCGAAAAATTATGGGAAATGATCAGCCATAAAATCAAATTGTGGTTGAAATCTACTAAAGAGGAAGGATACGGCTGAGATGTGGTTACATCTCTGTCTCTCAATCGAAATGTCGGATGTTCAACGCCCAACATCATTGGTGCTCGTTGCTTGATCATTTTCAAAAAAAAAATGGGAGAATGGCGGGTTTTAAATTCTTTTGCTGAAAGGAAGTTAAAATCTGCCATTGTCGCAAACTGTTTTTGAACAACTTTAAAAGATTTGGCCAAATTATTAATTTTGGGTGCTATTTGTTGTCTTCTGATTACTGACTAAAAGTGAAAGCGCAACTTCATTTCACCCAATATCAATAAACCTTTTGACTAAGATGGATCTAGGATTTTCTCGATAGAGTGGTTTTCAAAAAATTTACATCCTCTGAATTTTGTCGACCATCTTAGATCGAGCTATCCGAGCTATCCAAAACATTATACGGATCCTATTTAGCAATAGGATTTCGTGCAATTTTTGAAAAGTTTTGCCCAAGCATTTAAGCATTTACATCAGGCGTTTGTCCCATCTCTTTTTAAAATTCAACTGGATTCCAAGAGTATTCTACGTCTGCTTTTAAGCTAACTTTTTGCCATTATAAATTGCCTAAAGACAACAAACAATACATATATATGCTTCAGTTTGCGGTAAGTGTTTTCAATTTTCATAAAAAGATATCAGCAAAAATCACAGGATTAAAAAAAATTACAGGCGTTTAACAATGCAACAATGGGATCTTTTTGTTGTCCGAACAGCATTTTTGTAGGCAACCGAAAACTCAGAAAAAAAGTAAATATTTTTAGCGTCTGCTCCGAATTAGTTAACTTGAACAATTGATATCCTTTCTCCGAGGCCTATCCTTGTGTTACCTGCTCCTAAAAAATGGAAAATGATATCAAGTTTTAAATTTTCTCCACTAAGTTCTGTATATTGCAACTGCTCAGCTGTATTTTGTAGTGTAGTTAAATCAGAAACTAGAGATAGTAATTTCGAAATTTTTTCATAGCTGGAAAATATTCGTTAATTTGCATAGTTTTCCTTGGCATAACATAGCCGTGGCACTGAGAAGTAATATGTAATCAAAAAATAGCGAATTAGTCCAAGCTCTCAATAAAACTGTTGATTGTCGAATAAGTTTTTTTTGAAAGGATTCCAAAACAGCCAAAAATATTTTCAAAGCAATTATTATTTTTCTCAAATGAGCATTATTGAAATTGTTTTCCTGTATAAACTGAAGTTGAGTGAGTTGAGTCACAAGTGTTTTGGTTCTTGTTTCCATGTAAATGCAATGAACAGGTGTCTCTTCCAGATTCCATAGCAATTTTTGACAATTATGTTCAACATTCGAATTTCTGTCAATAAACAGCTAATAATCGTTATTTTATAGATGACATTTGGATTAACTGATAGCATGTAAGAACTTAGTCTAGCTCAAATGATTTCAATTGGAACATTGGTACTTGAAAGTAACAATCTTTTGCAAGTAACAAATCAATGGCAAAGCTCTCATAGAGTGAGAAATTTTTTTTGCTCCCAAGAAGTTTGCTTTTTCATTGAACTGATGTTTATCAAATTTAATTTGGAATTATTCAAAGTAATATCCATGACAAGCAAGAATTCTGTAGTTTTTCACTGCCGACTTTTATTTTGTTCAATATTGGTAGTTAATGAGGATATATTTTGTTGTCGTCGTATACCATTGTTTTGTTAGAGTAATTTTCATTTAAAAATCTGACTCCTTATGCTATTCGTTTGCTGATTTTGCTTCATATTTTTGAAAGCTTGAAATAAATTTTGCTTGAACAATTGAAACTTTGAACTAAAATTGGTCTCCGCATATGTAGGTAGAGAGTACAATCTGTCTCAAATTCAAGCTCAACTCATCTAGAGAAAAACTGCTAAGTACTTGTTAAATGTAAGGTGATCAACTTGGTTCCAAAACTTGAAACTATTAAAAAATTTCCGAAAAATAATCTGTAAAATTATCATGCCGAAGATGACTACAATGATATTAACTCATTTCAAAATGTCAGAAATGACTTTGCGAGAGAAATTATTTTTCGATTTACTTTTATGGGAAAAGAATCTAATTTTACTAGTTCTACACTAGTTTTTCTTTCTTTTATCCTCCATTTTCTGCGCCATTTTCATGTTTGTTTCAGTCGCTTTTGCATTTGATTGTAGGATTTGCTTGCGTTTAATAAAAAACTCTCAAATCTCTGGAGCGACAAATTCAAAAACAATTATGCTCAAATTTCTTGCAGTTGGAACTTTAATTTTTTTCAGGAAAAAGATTGCAGTTCTCCCAAGAATATGCGCAAGACCACAAAACGTTTTTCCGCGTTGTCTTGCATGTCTGCAAAAAATCTGAAAGTTAGCTATATTTTGAGGAACTACTTTAAATGAAGTTTTATTCAGAAATATTTTTTCGAAATTATCTACAAAAAGAGAACAACTCGGGTATTTCCTACGGATACAAAAAGAATTCTTTCGCCTGCGGTACCTCTTAATTTTAATTTCATAGCAAGAAAAGAGCTGTTTTAACACTTTTTCAAACATTAGATTCATGAAGACAGGCAATTCACTTACAGCCGCGTTGAAATAGTGCCCCTTTTAAATTTTGGATATGAAAACATAACAACCTCAACGAATGAAGGAATTTTGGTGTCGCCGACTTTGTAATATTCTATAATATCGTTATCAACTATTAAGACATTTTTCTGTAAAGTCTTAAATCACTGAGGGTTTTGAGGTCTTTTTCCATTTACTAACACCCTGTCTGATTTTGAATTAAATCATAGCCAAAAAAAAGACTCATTTGAGAACTTTGATTCAATAACGTTGATTGATCCTTCAGTGAACGAAGGGCTATTTTTGTGTAATCTCATTTGCTGACACATAAATCAAACTCTTGTGTAATTTATTTTTCTCTCATTTTTGTTGTTTGAGGCTCCTGTGTAATTTTTTCAAACTCTTGTGTAATTTACTTTTCGCTCATTTTGTTGTTTGAGGCTCCAACTACATCAACAAAACCTAGATACGACCCCGTTTCAATATACATCGGTTTGTTCATCCTTTTTACTCGGAACTCTATCTTCCATCTATGAATGTTAATTTTCTTTAGGTAAGATTTTGGTACTCAAAATGGTGCAAATTTTCTATTACAACCTCCCATTCTCTTTTCAAAGGAAGATTTTTGGTAGAAATTCTGAAAAAAGTTGTTCAAAAATCTTTTATTAGGATGACAAGTAGCAGAATCATTGGAAACTAGCTCGATAGTAAAAGATTCCATGATGACTGAACTTAAGATGTAAAAAAGTTTTATCCGTAGCAATTACTCAGCTCTTTTTGATTAGACTGTCCCGGAATTTAGACTTTTTCATTTCTCAAAACTTTGATAACGTGTAAAAAAGGATTTTTTTGTGAATACTGACAAAAGTTGATAATTTTACCTGAAATTTTTCCTTCTTGTCTTTTTTGGAAAAAATATCATTCTTAAGAGATCTCAGTTTATCTAAAAACTTGAATTTTTCAAAACTTTTTCAGAGATTAATTGTAGTGAGTTGGTAATCAATTGTATTTTTGACATCTCTATATTACTTTCAAATAATTCTAATAACTCGTCAAATACTTATAGACACAAATTGAAGCAACAAATATTTCAAGTTGAATTTATACTTGGTAAATATTTCTGAGTTTCCTTTGATTGAATAGCTCTCTTTTCAAATACGGCTTTGGTTTCATTCCTTTTAAAGTTAACTTCAATATTCTTTTCTCTTCAATCTTTTTTTAATCATGTTTTATCATTCAAATCCTCCACTTTTTGTACCCTCAAGTAATCTAAATTTTCTGTTCCATTGTCAACCCAACAATTGTAGTGGATTGTGAGGGAAAAAAAAACTTTTTTTTTGAAAATTTGCCAATGTTTTTAGAGTTTTTTGTTTTCACTAATTGAACTCAAAAAAACTGAGAACTAGTTATCGGCAAACTATGATTATTTGACTCACTTTTTGACCTGCTAACTTAACTACAGAAGCTAAGTTTATTACAATATATATCATTCAAATTTTTGTAGAAAGCTTGAAATTTTCTAAACTGTCTCATTGGCGTACTAATTTTTGCGTAATAGTTCTTTGTTAAAAAAATTGGTCATTTTTTATATGACGCTAGCTTGGCTCAAGTTTTGATCACATCAATAGGCAGCTTTAGCCCTAGTAGACAATTGACAAAGTCTTAAATTTGAAAGAGACTCAAGTTCCCTTAATGTTTTGCTAGAGCATTTTTATAAACGCCAAGTTTGAGTACAAAACCAATGGCTACAGAAAGGTAATATCAACTTCTGGAAAAAATGATCTTTCTTAATGCTTACAAAAAGTTAACAACAAAATTTTTTGTATCTCCCTTATCGAAAATGATTTTAGTTCACTGGTTCAAATTGTTACTAGGAAACTTCATTTTTTAATCAATATGATGCTTTTCAACCTTTTAACCAGTCTCTTATAGCAGTGTTATTAAACTAAAACGTTTTCGTTCAACCTCCTGTTTTCTTGCTTTTTTCATAATGTAGATTTTGTAAATTATTTTTTTGATTGATAAGCCGATTACAAAAATAAAATAAAATGTTCCACTTCCTGTCAACGGTTCAATGACAAATGGACCGATTAGAGATTTCAGTTATAAGGATTTGTTTTATTGGACAATTTTCATAATTATTTTGCAATTTTTGATGAAACTTTGTTTAGTTTGACAGTTATCATAATTTTTTGGCAATTGGTGTGCAGAAATTTTTGTTTAAATTAACAATTTTCATGGTTTTCCTGCAGTTTTGTGTGCACAAAATTTTGTTCTTTTTGATAACATTCATAGTTCTATTGCAAATTTTTAGGTCAAAACCTCATTTTTACAAATGAATTTTTTGATTTGTGTCCTTAATTTTGAACAAAACTTTTGTTTTGAGTTTTGAAACAGCAATTTTTTATATTTGAAAACTCGATTTTTCAATCAACGATAGGAGGCCAAATTGTGCATTTTGCGAATGGTAAGCGGATTCCGTGACGAGGATGCTCTCTTTATTCTTCTTTTGTACTTTCCTTTTCTTTGATCTTTCTGACAGAGTTTTAACACGTTTAAGAGCTTGTGTCTGGATTCCAGAAATATATACACACAAAATTGTGCGCCTATCCAGTGCACAGTTTGTCCTCGTAATGAATATAATTCAATTTTAGATAATGTAATCAATTTTTTGGGTTCTTAAAAGAAAATGCATTGCAATCGATTATACTGGGTTTATACAGATTCAATATAGATTTTGTAATGAATCTATACAAATGTTAAACTGCATAAAAAATTATTTTTCTAGAGTATATAATCAATTTTTCTGAACTGGATTAAATTCCTATTTTATCCAGTTTAGTGTCTAATTGGGTTACACACAATCGATTTTCTACTTGTGGAAAATCTGTGTGAAAATCGATTATAATTCGTTGTATCCTATTTTTGCAAATTGCAAATGCGGGTTGCTTTGTAGACTAATGAAACTTTCCAAATTATTTTTTCAATAAGTCTTTGTTTTTCTACAAGGCATATACTGTTCGAC